CAAAAAGTCCATAAGGGGTTTCCAGTCACTGATAAATGTAGCTGTTGATCTTTCTCTAATCGAACAAGTTAATTTGCCATCTCTGCTAGTTCTGTCATCTTAACCATCCCTCTCTTGTGGGTATTTCAGAGTCTTTCCATTTTGGCGCATATAATAGTCTCGCAGCAGTAATCATATATAAAAATAATCTTCCATGGCTCTTTTCTTATCAACTGTTCATTAATCCCAGCAAGAAAAGTTCTGGTTTCAGTTGAATGTTGATGTTTAAAATTCTTTGCATCATTATATGTATTTGAACCCAGAAATTCCTGGCTTTTTCACAAGTCCATTAGGCATGATAAAATGACCTTTCATGTCATCCACATTTCCAACATAAATTTGAAGTATTTTTATACATTCTAGACAATTTTCTGGAGTCAGATATCAATGGTATATCATTTTATAAAAATTCTCTTTTACGTTATAACATAATGAAAATTTCAATCCTATTAACCATATTTTCCCACTGTTCCATCAGTATATTGTGTCCAAAGTTCTTAGCCCATATTATCATACACTCTTTTACTTGTTCTTCCATTTCAAATTTCAACACAAGTTTATACATTTTAGCAATTGTATGTACATCATTTGTACAAAGTTCAACTTTGAATTCTGTCTTCTTAGTTCCAAATGTCCTATTAAATCTTTCTCAAATCATGCGAAAACCATTGAAAATGAAATCCCTCTGCTGGCAATTGCCTTTCTGATTTCGTGTTATATTCTCCTTGTTCCTGTTCTTGATAAGTTAATCATTTTTCTTTACCTACTGTTTCTTTCCTGTAAAATGCTTATTGTGCTGAGTCCCTAACTTAACTATCTCTCTATGTGTAATGTAGTTATCTTAAGCTTGTGGCTATTTGCAGCTTTCCTTGTCATCCTGTCTCTACTTAGAGATGAGCAAGGGTGTTAATGACTGTGGCTGACATTCTTTCTTGAGCTAAAAGATGTGGTCTTCTTTCTTCTTCCTTCCCTGAGGCTTCCCTGAGATACCTGTGCCAAGAAGACATGCCCCTTGCCAATCATCTACTTCTCTGGACCACTTCAGCATCTAGAATCCATTTTGGTTCATCAGCCATCATCTTCTTCTTCCCCCAAATTCTTTCCTCAAGTCTAGCCAGTCCCTCCTTTCTTTTTGGCAGCCTATCATTCTTCCTTCCTGTGAGAAAGTTTCTACCTATGAGAAAAGTTGGTAATCTGCTCTTCTCCTAGACTGCATTATCAGAGAAGAACAACTTATTTGTCAGGGAATTCATGCAACAGGAGGACTGACAGTGCTTAGGTGCTAAATTCTGTCACAGACTCCAAATGGGAGTGCAGGACAGGCCTGTGAATCCAGCCCATTTTAGCATGGCTCACTGGTGGTGGAATTTTCTACAGGCTGAAACAGAGAGAAACTTGATAAATCTCTATGCTGGCAAAACAACAACAACAAACCCTAGTCCTTTCCAGTAAATTCTTATTTATTTGTATCTATGTATTACTACTTTTAGGTATGTGTGGTGTCTAATCTTATTTTATACTTGCAAGAAGGGTTAGGCTGAGAAAGAGTGGTTGGTTCAAATTCCCTGCTTGATTGCTGAGTGGAATTGTATCTCATGTTTGTGCAACACCTTAGCCACTTCATTACACAGGCTTTTGTTCCCTCTTTTTATTACAATTAATAGCTCCTAAATCTGTCTCCTTAATGCAAAGTTTCTCAAACTTTCTACAGTCATGGAACACTGAATAAATGTGGAGCCCACCCAATTAAACAAACACTCCTCTTTAGGTTTTTGTCTTTAGTACATGAGAGCTCATTTAGGAAGTTTGTTTTAGAACAAAATGTAATGAAGTTTTAATCCAAAATTAAGTATTTATTTACTACTTGAATTATTTTATGTGCCTTATGCTATATGACAACAGCTCTTAGCATTAAGGCTGAACAGCTGAAGAATGTTCTTCAATAGAAAACTCTGAGTACAAAGGGGCTAAGGGCAAGTCAGTCTCCAGTCCAGTGAAATCCTATTGCCCTCTTTCTGATCTTTTTGGGTTGTTTGGGCAAGAACACAGCTTAACTTAGCACAGAACACTGATTCAAAATCAGTAGCTACTCTTGAGACCCATCCACTATTATCAGCTTTCTGATTTTTAGTATTCATACTGGATTAACACTTGTATGCTTCAATGAACCAGTCTGATCCAATTCCATGATGAACAAGTAACAACATCCCCTGGCCAGATGACTGGCAGTGAACATGGAAAGGCGAACTCTTAGGTGGAAGTGGGCTCTGAGCTGCTGTTTGGCGGTGAACATAGAGATGCAAGGATTGAGTTGATGAGTGGCTGTGGTCTGGCCAGCTGACTAGCAGTGAAAGTGGAAAGGTGGAGTTTTGAGGCAGTGAGAGATACCTCTGTAAGGCTATTAATTTGAGAATCACTACTTTAGTGAATTCACTGAATTTCTTGTTCTTTGGCTTAGAAATCAAATCCTGCTGGTTTGCATGTGCTCGTTTCAAAGATGAGACCCATAGACACAAAAAGCAAGCACAACTAAAATTAAAATTGGAGAACAATTTACAGCTTTCCTTCCTTTTTCTCTCCTACATATCTACTTACTTCCTTGATGCCCAGGTGATGGTACAATACAGAGAAGAAAGTTATCTCCCCCTTTTTCCATTTTAAAGCCTATAGCTTTTGAAGAAGCTCCTCTACTAGCCTCATTGGTACGGCAGTAGCCAGGGGCTTTTATGGGCAGCAAATAATGAAAGGTGTGTCCTGATGAAAAAATTGTGACTTAAATATTTGCATCAGCCATAAGGATGCAAGTTAAGGGTGGAATTTGCATCATGATGTCACTATGTAATATAAGTAATTATTTTACACGATCTCATTTTGTGCAGATGCCTATGGCAGCAGTCTTAATAAGCAAGTGAACAGGTGCATCAGAGAAAAAACTGAAAACCCACTAGAAGGTGGTACATGGATTTGATTAGGCTGGAATTTCCAAATTTTAAGTTAAAATGTCAAGGGGAGGTGCCTTTGAAGATTATGTGGAAACTATACTGATTCCTGCAGAATGCAGCACCCGCAAGATGTCTGGCACTCATTGTCATGAACATATCATACCCATTCTGCAGACTTCTGTAGGCCTGCCAATGGTTTTCTGGATGCAATTCAAAGTACTGGTTTTAAACTATAAAGTCCTCTGCAGCTTGGCTCCTAGGTGCTCTGGTCTTTTCCAGCCACAGTCAACACAATCAAGGTGTTCATTCTTGGAGAAGCTCCTTGTGGTGCCCCATTTTCAGGAGGTGAAAGGCCAGGAAATACTGCTTTTCTATGCCCCAGTTCTCTGGGATACCTCCC